CTATTCAGCGAGTTTCCAGGCATCTCGTTGTCTCCACGGATGCGCTACCACGGGTTGGGGTGCCATGTGCAATGGGCATGCAGCCGCCGGTTCCTGACAGGAGCCCAGCGCCTCATGCACAGCAATTGCCTCGAGCTACTGGCAGTACGGCTCGCCCTGCACCGCTTCCGAGCGTTGCTCAAGGGCCGGCATGTGCTTGTCCGCTCAGTGACAACACTTCGGCAGTAGCGTACATCAACCACCAGGGGGGTCTACCGCTCGCGCCGGTTGTCGGCAGCTCGCCGCACAACCTCTGATATGGAGTCAGAAGCACCTGAGGTCCCTTCGTGCAGTGTAGCATTCCTGGAGACCGGAACCTGGCAGCCGACGAGCTGTCACGGGTCCGTTTCATCTCCGGCGAGTGGCGACTCCATCCCCAGTCGGTCCAGCTGATCTGGGACCAGTTCGGGGAGGCACAGATAGACCTGTTCGCCTCTCAGGACTCGACCCACTGCGCCCAGTTTTAATTCTGACCCGCGGCTCTCTCGGCTCGGATGCGCTGGCGCACAGCTGACCACGGGGCCCACGCAAGTGTGCGTTCCCCCAGTGAGCCTCCTTGCACGGGTGTTGTGCAAGTTCAAGGAGGACGAGGAGCAGGTCTTGCTGGTAGCCCCCTTCGGGCCCACCAAGACGTGGTTCTACGAACTCATGCTCCTCGCGACAGCACCTCCTTGGCCTATTCCTCTGAGACTATTCTCTCGGAGACGGGGCACTCTGTGGCACCCTCGTCCCGATCTTGGAGGCTGCACGTGTGGCTCCAGGACGGGACGAGGCAGGTTTGAGTTCGCTGCCACCTGCGGTGGCGGCAACCATCACTTCCGCAAGAGCGTCGTCCACGAGACACCTTATGCGTTGAAGTGGAACCTCTTCGTCAATTGGTGTTCTTCTCGCTGAGAAGACCCCCGGAGATGTTCGATCGGAGTCGTGCTTCCTTCCTGCAAGAGGGGTTGGAGCGTAGGCTGTCGCCCTCCACCCTTTGGATTTATGTCGCGGCCATTGCCGCGTCTCATGATGCAGTGAAAGGTAAGTCTTTGGGAAGCATGACCTGGTCATCAGGTCCTGAGGGGAGTGAGGGGGCTAAATCCGCCTCCCTTCCCTCCTGCCCTCTGAGGACCTCTCAGTAGACCTGGGTGCTCTGCAGAGGCCTCCCCTGGAGCCTTTGCAGTCGGTAGAGTTTTTGCCCTGTCCTATGTGACAGCACTCCTGATTGCATTGGTCTCCATCAGGAGAGTAAGGGACCTGCACGCACTCTCTGTTGACGAAGTGTGCCTGGAGTTCGGGCCGGCTTACTCTCACGTATTCCTGAGACCCCGGCCTGGATATATGCCCAAGGTTCCTACCACTCCCCTCCGGGACCTGGTGGTGAACCTGCAAGCGCTGCCCTGGAGGAGGCAGACCCAGCCTTGGCACTGCTCTGTCCGGTACGTGCTCTCCGCACCTATGTCGACAGAACGCAGTGTTCAGGACCTCAGACCAGCTCTTTGTCTGTCATGGGGGGAGCCAGAAGGGAAGGGCTCTCTCAAAGCAACGGCTGTCCCACTGGATAGTGGATGCCATTGCTTTGTCTTACCAGCAGCAAGGCCTTCCGTGCCCCCTTGGTGTGACGGCCCATTCCACTCGGAGTGTAGCCTCCTCTTGGGCTTTAGCGCACGGCGCCTCGCTAACAGACATCTGCAGAGCTGCAGGCTGGGCGACACCCAACACCTTCGCCAGATTCTATAATCTGTGAATTGAGCCGGTATCCTTTCACGTACTCGTTTCGGCCAGTTCTGGATCCGCTCAGGTGTCTTCGCTTGCTCGCCACTCCACTCCCCGGACTGGATAAGTGCGATATTCCTCAGTTCTTCCATTGAAGTCTTGAGTCCTCCAGCACCGACGATGCGGGCACCACTGCTGTTGCTCTGGATGCTGGCTAGGTGCCTCCATGCGCACGGTTCCCCATGGTAACCGTCTCATGTGTATTATCCACTGTAAGCCTCTCCGAGCATGTGTCTTCCCTTGGCAAGCCATCTGCCACCCCTGGAGTTGAAATTGTAGCCACCTGCGGTTGGTACTCCAGTGTTCCATATGTGTTCCTATGTGGCCATATGTGTATTCGTAAGTCCTCCCTTCGGTAGGCAGCTGGTAGCATGTCCCTTCCGGGATATGTTTCCCAGTGTACCTTGGTAATCCTGTGTCAAAGTCGGATCCCCAAAAAAAAAAAAAAAAAAAAAGAGGTAAGGCTCGGGGGTCCAGACTTTCGCAGGGCACTGGAAGACAGCTTGAAGATGGCGTGATGGCACAGACCCCCAATCTCCGTCACTTCTGATGTAACTCGAAGTGACTACGAAAGGGAACGTCTCGGTTACGTATGTAACCCTCGTTCCCTGAGTAGGGAACGGAGACGTTACGTCTCCCTGCCACTTCTGCTGTATCGCTGGGTAGATGCCGAGTTCAGTCTTGGCTCCTCAGCGAAGACATACTGCGGTTGCGTTCACTTCCTCCTTTTATACTCACGGAGTAGGGCGGAGTACGCTATGCAAATTTCCGCAGCCCCAAGGCATTGCATGCCATTGGCTCGTGTTTAAATACTCGAAGAGGATTGGCTTTCTATGCGAAATCCCCCAATCTCCGTCACTTCTGACGTAACGTCTCCGTTCCCTACTCAGGGAACGAGGGTTACATACGTAACCGAGACGTTTTCTTTCTTAACACACCAGCTCAAAATTCAGCACTGGCTCATATAGTCAGTCTAATGGTGCACAGCAATCATGATTTATTTATTCTTTTATTTATTATTAACATGTATGTGTGCATTAAAAGTACCAGTTCAGCAACAAGAATGTTTCTGACCCAAATGAAGATAAACATCTGTTCTGGCGATTGGCGTGTTTATTGAACCAATAAAATAAAATAAAATTGAAAGTCAGCAAGATGTTTGCTATAAAAAAAAGCACCTAGAAATATCTTTAAGGTTAGAAATATTACCCTTTATAAAAATTATAATTTCCGTCACTAATGTGACTTGACCGCTGCATAGATAGATAGATAGATAGATAGATAGACAGACGCACATACATTTTATGGACTTTAAGTCTGAAAATAAAGTTGAATTGAATAATAGTATTATTGTCAATTAAATAATGCCCACTGTATAAATAATAATATACAGATAATGTACAATAATAATAATGTATTATTATAATTATTATTATTAGTAGTATTAGTAGTAATAGCAGCAGTAGTAGTAGTATATTGTGCACAGCAATATTATGAACTCTGGAAATGATGCTGCCTTCACGTGGTATTGGAATTCTTATAAATATTAGTTTCTTCATCAAAAAAAAAGAAAAAAAAATAATAAAAAGGAAATTAATTTAAAATTGACCTCAAGTCAAAATCACGATTTCAAAAGCTGGAGGAAATTTAAGATAGCACGTGAAGGCAGCATTAATTAAGCATTAAGACTTTTACTGTGAAGTTCGTTAGTGGGCGCCAAAGCTCTCATCTCACTAGTTTGCGTAATTGGGTTCACAGACAGAACATAACACAATTAGCCTAGCAAAGAGTTCTTTTTTATTTTAAATTTAAATAAAAAATACATTTAAAAAGAATTAGCAGCATGTTTTCCGATAAACATTATTTTTTTCTCTCGTGCCAAACCACGCCCCCAGTACGTGACCTTTGCTCAAACTTGCTATGACTCAACGTCAACGTTCACTTTTTAATGCGGGAGAAACAACTTGAGAATAACAGGCGTGTTGTTCATCAAGCGGCCGAAGAAAAATCTTTACAGATTTTACAGAAAATCTAGAGGCAGCACGTGGGCGATAATAATCCAGACGGAGAAATATATGGTGAGTGCTTTTATTTGTTTTTTGTTGTACTTTACTTCTGAATTAGTTGATTATTAGTTAATTTGGAGAAAAAATATAAACACCACTAACTTTAACATTGTAAGATATCAACATTACCGAATGTTTAAATCTATCTAGCTTGATTTTAATCAATCTATCCATCTTTATTTTTCATTATTTTAACGTGACGTGAAATATTTGCGTTAAGTTTTTTGTTGTGATGGCTTTTGCTGCACAGTAAGTTAACGTTATCATTTTTTTCAGTCGCGCACATTCTTGACTTTAACATATTACATTTCTCTCCATCTGCTAATAATAAAGGGCAACTGAGAATTCTGATTAATTGCTCCAACAGTACATATTGATTAATATTTAATAAATTTCTGAAGAGATAACGATTTTTGAAAAATCTCTGTGCAGCAGTTGTCATACGCTAAAAATAAAATAAAAAGCATAAGCCTAGGTAACGTTATACACTGCAACAAAAGCTTTTCTTATTTAGTATTTGTGTCTTGTTTCCAGTCCAAATATCTAAAAAGTCTCAAATCAAGATGCATTTACTAGATGAGTAACGTTAGGCGTAAAGCCATAAGATAATTTGTCTGGTTTTCAGGGGGAATAAATTAATCGAATTTTTAATAAAAAAAAAAAAACCTAAATTGTATGCCAATGGAATAGGAAAAATATTCTTGTTTTTGTTTGAATTAATTTATTTTTCTTATCGGATAATTTAGCTTTTTTTAAACAAAAACTCACTTATTTTTGCTTTCTACTTTTATTCTACTAGTATTTTACTCATCTAGTAAATGCATCTTGATTTAAGACTTTTTAGATATTTGGACTGGAAACAAGACACAAATATTAATTTTTAATTAAAGAAAAGCTTTTTTTGCAGTGCAAATTCATTGTTCATTCATTAAATTGCCTTTCATGAAACTGATCATTCACATTTGTCTTTTTTTTTTTTTTCTTAAACAGATTTTTATTTACGTTACGTTTTGTTTATGTTTGAGCGGCAGTCCTCTGTGAGGGACTCCTCAAGAGACGCATAAATAAAACGTAACATAAATAATCCAGGCCTGGTCTTCACTCATCTTGCACTGTTCTCGCTCTTCCTTTTATTCATCCGGACCTCCTTTTGTGAGTAACGAGGCAGGTGAGCTTGATCACATGCTCTTATCCTTGTCCTGCTTGTCAGAGTGCCATGTTTTGTTTGCAAGAGTTTGAGCTTTGTTTTTTTTTTTTTTCATATGCACAACCATTTTTTTTAATGAAATTTATATCATTCTTAGGACACTGATTTGAAAGAAATAGAGGACGATATCTCACAGACAACAAAGACATGTCTAAACTTCGTCATCATTTTTGAGGAAACCGTCGTCATGGAGGACCTACCTGACTTTCCTACTGCTTTCATGGTACTCTTTGGACTTCTCTATGCGGTGAACTTTGAGTATTCAAAAGGACTAAAATACACATTTGAGCAGGGTTCCCGCGGGTCCTTAAAAAGTCTTAAAATGTCTTAAATTAGATATTTAAAATTTAAGGCCATTAAAAGTCTTATAAAGTCTTATTTTTAGGTATGAAAGGTCTTAAATTTTAGATGACACTTCGACTCAGTTATATCTTAATGTTTTCCAAATTAAAACCATCTAATTTGCGTACGTAGCCTATTAATTTTTATCTTTGTGGATTTGCTTGTTCACGTGACAATTCGCGTCACATTCGCGGCAGAATAACGTCCGTCTCCTGCACGCGAGACAGGAGAGGAGGAGAGAAGAAAGTTGGCAAATGTCAGTTCAGTCGTAAGTTAATTCTTTATGTGCGTAGAGGTGTGCGATGTGTATTGTCTATTATGATACTCTATTGTTTTAACGATGGACGAGGCACTGCGAGTGTGAGCTGACATCGCATTTGTCTCTCGTGTTTTCACGGCGTGATGTGTGCAGTTATAGGCATAGACATGTATTTATTATGGTTATAGGTATGTCCCCAAATTGTTGCCTTATATTTATATCATGTTGTTATATTAGAATATCACATCAGTAAGAGTGCCGTTTTCCCGTGCACAAGTGTGATATTTATGTTATACAATAGTTAAATTAAAAATAAAGTGACATTTTGAGTTAGTTTTTAGCCATAACATTATTGATATTGTTTGTTTTCCCTTTATTTCGCCGACTAGAATTTCAAAATGAAACCATAGCAGAGTCTCAATGCAACAGACAGCGATGATCTCTTGAAGGAAATCCGCGTCTTGAACGAGTCATTTTAACGATTCAATCACTTGCTTCTTTCCCGTTTGAACAAATCGGTTGAATGAATGACTCCCTCAACTCGCTTATTAAGACAGCGATTTGCCGCCGCCTACTGGCGGTTTTAGTTTCATATTAAAAGTAAAAAATAAGAAATCATTTCACATTTAAATATTGAATATTGATTTTTTTTTTTAAAAAAACCTTATAGCTTGATTTATGCAATTGTAAATGGAGTCTATATATTAATGCCACTTCTAAGGCTGCTTCTGCGTCTACTCTGCACTGCAAAGATGGATTTTTGATTGAATGATTTAATTTGACTGCTAACAGTGGTACTGTATAATTATTGTGTAATGAAATATTATTGTATAAATAAGTATAATTACTGTATATATGTGATGCACGTGATGCATAACTCTAAATAAGTTTAGAAAAAAAAAATCTCCATAAATAGGTGAAAATGCCTTGGAAATCAATTTAAGGTGGCAAATATTGCACATTAATTAATAATTTCTGTCACTGCTGTGAACTGACCACTGCATAGAATATGAAAAATATAAATATCTCCGCGAGTCTGCTGTCAACAACAGGCCTAAACCAGCCATGGCACCAGCACAATAACACAATCAGTAAAATATCAACTAATTATTGTTGATAATAATTAGTTGATATTTTACTGATTTTGTTTTTGTTTTGGGTTTATCAACAAAACGTGAAAATATCGAGATATATTTTTGTCAATATCGCACACCCCTAATGTATGGTATTAATTTTGATTTCTTCAGGTCTTAAAAAGGTCTTAAAAAGCCTTAAATTTTACTTTAAAAAGTGTGCAAGAACCCTGTTGAGGCAGTGCAGAACATATTTGTGGGATTTGGAGAAAAGTGCACCAACAGAGTCCAGTCCCTAAAGAATGAGCTACTTGCTATTTAGGGAGTTTTAGATGATTTTACTGTTGGTGGGTACCTTTGGCATAATGATGTTGTTTGTTAGGATGTTAATGTATATTGTTTAGTGAAATTTGAATTTTAAAGACTTAGCCTTGAATTCTCTAAAATGTTTACATTTGCTACTGTTCAGCTACGTTTCATATTCAGTGTTGGCGCTTTGTAATACTGTTTTATTGCAGTATTTCAATTTTCATGGTTGAATCGATACTCAGTGTTAGTGTTTTGTAATACTGTTTTAACAGCAGTGTTTAAAGGGATAGTTCACTTTGAAATTAATTTTTGATATGTTTTAGGTCAAACCGGTGTTGTCTATCAGTCATACACTGGAGGTGAAGGGGGTCCTTAATCGGTTCACCTCAAAGAGCATGCACAGAGAAGTCCAAATTAAACATGACTTAATGACTCGTACATGTAAGTACACATTGATGGCCTAAGACACAAACGAACAGTATTTATATCGTTTTACCTCTTGTAATCATAGCCATGGCAAAATGATCTGATGGCACGGGCGCTTCGGTCTGCGCATGCGCTGGAAGTGATCGCTTGCGCGCCTACTTCACTCTTTAGATAAGACTAAACATATTTAGATATACGGGAAATCGCAATGGAAGACTATTTCGGTATATCTAAATATGTTTAGTAAAAGGTTAAACTTCCGAAATCTCCGTGTAGATATTGAGTGACGTCACATGCAAGCGATCACTTCCGGCATAACATTGAACTGATTCAGTTCGGTTCAGTTGGACATTGAACAACTGATTCAGATCACTGTGATTACACGAGGTAAAAACGATATAAATACTGTTCGTTTTCTCACACAAACCGCTCGTTTCGTGTCTTAGGCCATCAATGTGTACTTACATTTACGAGTCATTAAATCATGTTTAATTTGGACTTCTCTGTGCATGCTTTTTGGTGGACCCCCTTAGCCTCCAGTGTATGACTGATAGACAACAACGGTTTGACTGAAAAATGTCAAAATTGAAAATACTGTGGAAACAAAGACACCTACATCTTGGATGCCCTTGAGGTAAACTAAAACATATCAAAAATAAATTTCAAAGTGAACTATCCCTTTAAAGGACAACTCCAGCGCAAAATGAACTTTTGGTATAATAACACATTGTTACCTAGTCAACCGTTATCTGAGATTTGTTTTCATGATTGCCGAATGTAAATAGTTTTATCTCTAAAAACAGTTTAGCCTATAATGCTAGTATAATGCTAGTATATAGGGCATAGAGTAATGACAAATAAAAATGTATTATGACAAATATTACCACTAACAAGGCTCAAAATAGCCCCACACTAACACGGTAGCATAAAAAGGGTCCCTACATTCAAACCGATGCATTGAGAACTTTGTCAGTGTCCAAACAGTTTAATAAGAAGATATTTTATACACACAGTCAACTTCGCGAATACAGGAAGAAGCCATCTTTGAAAAATAGTCTCTACCAGTCGATCTACGAACGCCGATCCAAGTGCGCTGGTGAGATGTGAACAAGGTGATAAGGTGAGCGCGAACAGTAGTCTACGTGTACATATTGAAGAGAAGAAAACGGTTCATGTTTGTGTTTCTTCCTGAAACAACGGACCATATGATATTCTGCACAGTTCAGCGCACTTGGATCGGCGTTCGTAGATCGACTGGTAGAGACTATTTTTCAAAGATGGCTTCTTCCTGTATTCGCGAGTTGACTGTGTGTATAAAATATCTTCTTATTAAACTGTATGGACACTGACAAAGTTCTCAATGCTTCGGTTTGAATGTAGGGACCCTTATTATGCTATCGTGTTAGTGTGGGGCTATTTTGAGCCTTGTTAGTGGTAATAACAAGCGATTTTTATTTGTCATTACTCTTTGCCCTATATACTAGCGTTATACTAGCATAATAGGCTAAACTGTTTTTAGAGATAAAACTATTTACATTCGGCAATCATGAAAACAAATCTCAGATAACGGTTGAATAGGTAACAATGTGTAATTAGACCAAAGGTTCATTTTGCGCCGGAGTTGTCCTTTAACTTGCAGTATTTCAATTTTCATTGTTGAATCGCTTTGGCTTAAATATTTTGAATGTTTACGACTTGTACTGGGTTGAATTCTCTAAAAAGGCCAAATGCTTATTCGTTTACTTGATATTTGTTGATTCAGGTGATATTTAAAGGGTTAGTTCACCCAAAAATGAAAATTAAGTCATTAATTACTCACCCCCATGCTGCACCAACCCCGTAAGACCTTCGTTCGTCTTCAGAACACAAATGAAGATATTTTTGATTAAATTTGAGAGCTGTCTCACTACCACATTGCCTGCCTAAGGGACTGGCTCTTGACGGCCCAGAAAGTCAATGAAGAAAATGTTTAAATATCCCAAGTGACTACCGTGGCTCAACTATAAGTTTATCAAGCGACGAGAATACTTTTTGTGCGAAAAAACAAACAAAAATAACGACTTTATTCGACTATTCCTTTTCTTCCTTGTTGGCCTGAAACGAGACTTCCTTAGATTTCCACGACGCATGGAAATCTAAGGAAGTCTCGTTTCCAGGCCAACAATGAAGAAAAGGAATAGTCGAATAAAGTCGTTATTTTTGTTTTTTTGCACAAAAAGTATTCTCGTCGCTTGATAAACTTATAATTGAGCCACGGTAGTCACTTGGGATATTTAAACATTTTCTTCATTGACTTTCTGGGCCGTCAAGAGCCAGTCCCTTGGGCAGCCAATGTGGTAGTGAGACAGCTCTCAAATTTAATCAAAAATATCTTCATTTGTGTTCCGAAGATGAACGAAGGTTGGTACAGCATGGGGGTGAGTAATTAATGACTTAATTTTCTTTTTTGGGTGAACTAACCCTTTAAATGTTTCATGTTTACTTGATACATTTCTTTGTAGATGGATGGTCTTTTAAATTTGGAAAGATTGTGTTCCTCATGTGCATTGGCAGTGTTTTGTAAAACTGTTTTACTGTGATGCAGTATTTTATTATTTCAATTTGCAGTGTTGCAAATTACACTTACAGTTTTATAACAGTTTGTAAGTGTACTTGTTGCCTCCAACAAGAATAAATGTTTTGTTAACATTGACTCACTGTTTTCAGTTTTTGACTTAAGCAATGTTATTTTAGTTTCCATTCGTAACGTATTATTACTTAGTACCAATTTCCAATAGGATTTTTTTGTTCACTCAACAAAAGACATTGAGTTCTACAGTACAGACCAAAAATGTTGAATTGGCTCAACTTAAAAAGTTTTGTTAAAAAATAGTT